ATTAAAAATATTCTGTGAGGGATAGATGGTCAGGTGTCCAGGTTGGATGGTCAAATGTCAAAGGATAATTAGACATACACCATCTCGGTAATGAATTTTAAGGTTAAATATTTATGTTTTTTAGTCGCTTAAGTCCAGGTCTAATGTTGTAACTCAAAATAAACCGTAACGTATTCGCAAGGTATTATTCCGACGTGTGAAACATTTTGGAGGTTAATAGAAACATAAAACATTTATTTACTCATAATAACAGTGTTTTTGTGTATCAGGAAGAAACACACCTATTCGTGGTACATCCAACTCCGATTGACCGATCGGTATTGACAAATTTGACATTTAATGTTAGGTACTAGGAAAAAATGACTGTCGAATGGATATAATGCTACGGTTAAAGTGATAAATTGGTTATTATAACCAACATAAGCCAGCATAATAACCAACAGCTTTGGTTAATGTGATAAAATACATGCAATTTATCACTTGAACCGGCTATTTTACATAATCAAACTTTATTGGTTAAAGTGGAAATGATATTTAGAAAATAATTTTGGAGAAATTTTTGAAAAACCATTTATGTCCAATTGTCATGAATATTGGCAGAAATACTCCAAACGATATCAAAATGTTACAAAGTTAGGAACAATTAAACCTATGTGTAAGTTGCAAGTGCGTTTTGCATTGCGCGCTGCGCTTACGATTGTTGAAACCTATGCGTAAGTTAAGCTGCACAAGCGTGCGGTTATTAAAACTCACGCGTAACTGGGCGCGCACAGCGCGCGATACAAAACGCACTTGCAACTTACGCGTGGGTTTTAATAACCGTGCGTGCAGTTTACGCGCTTTTAACTTATGCGTAGGTTTCAACAACCGCGCGCGGCGCGTAACGCGCGATGCAAAACACACTTGCAACTTACGTGTGGGTTTTAATAACTGTTCGTGCAGTTTACGCGCTTTTAACTTATACGTAGGTTTCAACAACCGCGCGCGGCGCATAGCGCGCGATGCAAAACGCACTTGCAATTTACGTGTGGGTATTAATAACCGTGCGTGCAGTTTGCATGCTTATGATGGACAGTATCTCACATATGAAACTTTTATTTGCTATATTTTCTAAATTAACGTCGTTTGGCAGTTAATTTTTGCAAAGAATTACTCAGATGAATATCCTTGACAACATGCACGTAAACAAACAGTAAGTATAGTCATCGATATTAATTCGCCTCGAGACAGACGAATAACGCTTATGTAACGACTGAGACAAGTTCAAACTCGCAGAAACATGAGATTTATCGCTTTAACCAGAGCATGTTGGTTATTATTCACAATCACCGGTTAATGTGATAAAATTTACAAAAATATGAATAATTTATCAAATTAACCAAAGCTGTTGGTCATTATGCACAATAACCGGTTATTATACCACACAATAACTGGATTTATCACTTTAACCGTAACATATGTATATATATATATATATATGTTACGGTTAAAGTGATAAATCCAGTTATATATTAGGAGCGCAAAAAAGTTCTGAGCCTTTTTTTACAAAATTCAAAATTTATTTAAAAACAAACAAAACTATATTAATCAACGAAATATTCCCCGTTTGCATCGATGACCTTTTGCCATCTTTCGGGCAGCTTGCGAATTCCCTGATGGTAGAAGCTCACCGGTTTCGAGGCGATAAAGTCATCAATACATTTTCGTATCTCTTCAAGTGTCACAAAATGTGTATCAGCCAAGAAATGCTGCAGAGACCGGAATAGGTAGTAATGGAAGGCGCCATGTCTGGGCTATACGCCGTGTGCGGGAGAAGTTCCCAGCCTAACGCAAAGATATGGTCCTGAGTCACTTTCGCAACATGTGGTCGGGCATTGTCATGAAGCAGTATTACTTTACTACGTCCTTTGCCAGTAAATGGCCTCTTCTTCAAACGCATCGCTCAAATTGCTCAATTGTTGCTGATAGCGATCTGCCATTTCACCCGGCTGTAACAACTCGTAATACAATACACCTTTCCAATCCCACCATATGCAAAGCAAAACCTTCTTGGCGTGGATATTGATCTTTGGCGTCGATGTCGAAGGTTGACCAGGGTCAACCTATGATTTTTTACGCTTCGGATTATCATAAAGTATCCACTTTTCATCACCTGTAATGATTTGGTGCAGAAAATCCTTTTTCCGGAACCTTGAAAGCAAAGTAAATGCCGTGTCACGCCGTCGATTTTTGTTGTCTTCGGACAGTGCATGTGGAACCCATCTGCCTTCCTTTTGAACTTTTCCCATTGCATGTAAACGTGTGGAAATGGCTTGTCGCGTAACGCCAAGTTACTCTGCAAGCTCCTTTTCAGTTTGTGCAGAGTTTATATCCAATAATGCTTGCAGTTCGTCCGTTTCAATCTTTTGAGGGCGTCCAGCACGCGATTCATCTTCAAGACTGAAATCTCCTTGGCGAAATTTTTGATACCACTTTTTACACGTAGCATAACTTACAGCGTTCTCTCCATATGCAACACAAATCATTTCAGTGGCTTCAGCAGCATTTTTCTTCAGATGAAACGCGAAGTGGATGGAAAATCGAATATGTTCTTTTGTTATTGCCATCGTGAACACTGCTGATTTTAAGGTTATGTGCATCAAACGCCAAATCGCACGATGTTTCGAAAGACCAAATGTCACTGCTTTAAAACCGCAAGAGGGCGGGAAAATTAATGCAATTTAAATTGTGGTTTCAGTAGTATGAAATCTAGGGCTCAGAACTTTTTTGCGCTCCTAATATATATATCTAGAAAATGTCGATCCGATGCCCATCTAACCCTGAAAAAGAATGGATCATCTATCCCCGTTTGGAGAGTTCACGTAAAAATGCGTATACCGCGTAAAACATCGTCTCGGTGACGAATTTCGAGACTAAATATGAAAATACGATGTTTTTTTTAGTCATTTAAGCTCAGGTCTAATATTGCAACTCAAAATAAACCGTATTCGCAAAGTATTTTTTTTACGTATGAAACATTTTGGAGATTACTTTTTTTGGAAAGAAACATAAAACATTTATTTACTCACAATAGTAGTATTTCTGGGCATCAGGATGAAACACACTTACTCGTGGTACGAGTACATCTAACTTACAACTGACCGATCAGCACTGACATCTAGCATATATTAAAAAAATTATAGCAATTGACTATCCATCCCTTATGTCCATCTATCTCGGATTTAACCTATTGCCACTCTAAGGGCTCCTCCGCGACGGCCGTCACTCGCAATCGACTTGCGTAAAGTTTCCTCGCAGAAAGTAATATCGAAAGTAATATTTGAGAGAGCGAACCGGTATACGCCATTGCTGAAATATCTGAAAATCACGTTGCATGTGGCATACAGATATTACGTTTTGGCATTCGCGACGTTATCCGGCGGAATAATTTAGCACCCGACTTCGCAGCCCACCTCGCGGAATACGCCGCGCGGCGGCCGACATTAAGGGAATTTATCGCTTAAAGGAGATAATCTATGCAATTCGATGAGAAAAAAGCAATATTTTATGAATTTATTGCAAGAAAAGTATTAAGCAGATCCTTTTGAAACTTTGAGAAGACTTAATTGGTACTTTAAACAAGTGAAAAATATTATTTGCATAAAAGAATAATGTCAATATAATGAATTTTAAAGGCAATTGTTGATACCAGTGATTTCAAATGGCCCGCACTCTGGCATCTGCTGTATTCATCTGAAAGCAAAAAAACCAAATTATTCCTAACTCTGTATGAATTTGCGCTGTCGATGAACCTAAAAGTGAAGAGAAAAGTTAAATAGGAAGAAAATGGCATGGCTTTAAACTAGAATTTTCCAATTTTACAAAAAATTGTTGTCTTCTTTCAAGGAAAAGGATTGTCTAATGTAATTATTTAGTCAAAATAGGTTTATACAGAAAAGAATGCTTTTATTTAGATGTCTGCAAAAGACCGCATTGGTTAAGTAGTTTTTGAGTTATCGTGCGGGCCAATTTGAAAACAAAAAACTGCTTTCAAGAAAAACGCACTTAAAGTTTTAAGAAGCAAAAAGTTTAAGTTTTCTGTAACTTACGGCTATTAATCAGCAATTGCAGGGTCGTATAATAATCTTTCCTCAGTTTTTTTACGTAGCCAAATTGTTTTCAACGTTTGTTAATGTATGTATGTGATACATCGAGCAATCTTGTCTGCAACCTCACATGTAACATCAAATATATACTCTAAGGTCTTTTTTGTTTTTGTTGTATCGCGAACGCAACTTTGTGTCAGTGGAGTTCAATCATGAATGAAATTGCTTATAACTTTTGATAGAAGCATTTTTCGAACAAATGTTTCAGATAAAGCTTACTTGTTTTATCCCGTAGAATCCAAACATGTAACATCTTATAGCAGGTTCCATTTAAGATTATAAAGTTACTGCCGTCGCCATCTTAAAGGAGAAACGGAGGCAACTTTACGTTTATGTAGTTAGGGAGACCTCTCGAATACATGAAACTTCCTTATGAAGAATTTTTTTATTTAATAAATATTTTTAAAGTGGACTTGTAACACTTATGGACTTGTAACACTTGACGTAGGCCACTCTGTATATATCGATTCTAATATGATTTATTATAATATAATGTGATTCATGTTCCTTTTTATTGTTAGACATATGGTGATTTAGACAGAAAAATTTGCGAAAAAAAGAAATTGTCCGCTTTCAAATTAACATTGCAATCACAGGTTGTTATTACGGGCTCATCAGAAATAGATATAAGGCGCAGTTTTGTCATTGTCGACAATCAGCATTATAAAGTCGAAACTCCTATAAAAGCTATTGACATAACGCTCAAATGTATTCACAATCTATATGCTGAATAATCCTAAGGAATATGAACAAGTAAACCTTTTTCTACAAACATGTATTTATAATATTCATACAAAGTACGATAAAAAATTTACTACAGTTAGTACTTTGATCAAACAATTCAAGCGTTCGTACATGGAGTTCATGCGAGAGTTCGAGACGCTCGGGCACATGTCGGTCATCTCACCAAACGAGCACGTGACTGAGGATCGGCTGTGCTACCTGCCTCACCACAGGGTTTTGCGCGAGGCGACAAACAAACTACGCGTCGTATTCAATGGTTCTCAGTACACACGCGACGGGCACTCGTTAAATGGCACGCTCATGATCGGCCCGAATCTACTCCCACGGCTCGCGGACATTTTGCTTGCGTGGCGCCGACATCGGTTCGTGTTCGCGACCGACGTGGAGAAGATGTACCGCCAGATTTTGGTGTATCCGGACGACCGCGACTTGCAACGCATCCTGTGGCGATCGACGAGCGGACTGCAGTTCCGCCTGAATACGGTGACGTATGGCCTCGCGTCCGCACCCTTTCTCGCGATCCGGACTCTTCAGCAGCTGGCCGTTGACGAGGGAGACCGCTTTCCACTGGGTGCGTCTGTTCTGCGCACGAAGGTCTACGTAGACGACATCCTGACCGGGGCATCCTCCGGGGCGGAGACCATGTTGGTGCGTGAACAATTGAAGGGAATCTGCCGCGCCGATGGCTTCCCTTTGAAGAAGTAGGCGGCCAACAACGAGCGACTGCTGGAGGGCATTCCCGAAGAACATCATACCGCCGGAGGACCGCTTACGCTGCAGGCGCTCGATGCGACTCAGTCCACTCTGGGTCTGGAGTGGGATCCTTGTCGCGATAGTTTCTCTTTCATCATTCGCCTTGGAGGAGAAAGCGCTACAACTAAGTGCGACATTCTCTCCCAGGCAGCGCAACTGTTTGATCCGCTGGGTTGGATGTCACCCGTAACGATCCGAGCCAAGTGCATCATCCAGACGACGTGGCTCAGGCGCATGGGATGGGTTGAACGCTTGCCGGACGATGACGTTGCTGCGTGGAGAACATTTGACCAGGATCTTTCTCAGCTGCTCAGCCTGAGGATTCCTCGCTGGGTGGGTCTAGATCGTCCTGGGGGCGCCGTTGAGGTCCATGGATTCTCGGACGCCTCGGAGCGGGCGTATGCAGCCGCGCTGTACTTAAAGACGTCCGAAAGCTCCGACGTCAGGGTGTCTCTGCTGCTTGCGAAGACCAAGGTGGCCCCCCTGCGACAGATCTCGCTGCCGAGGCTGGAATTGTGCGCCGCATCTTTCTTGGTGAAAATAGCGGCGCACGCGGTAGAGGTGCTCAAAATTCCCTCGTCGGTCGTTCATCTCTGGTCCGACTCGACGGTGGCGCTGGGCTGGATTTGAGGTCATCCGTGTCAATTGACGATCTTCGTGGCCAACAGGGTGGCGGAGATTCAGAGGACTCTTCCAGAAGCTCAGTGGCATCACGTGCCAGGGAGCTATAACCCCGCCGACTGCGCTTCTCGGGGCATCGCTCCCTATGATCTCTTGGCGCATCCGTTGTAGTGAAGCGGGCCGGACTTCCTGCGTTCTCACCAGTAGCCCTCTTCGCCGGACTTCGAGGAAAGCGTCAACTTGCCGGAGCGACGTAGGACGGCCCACCTTGCCGAGGCCGAAGCTGTGGAGTCGGAGCTGCTCGTTCGGTTCTCGGCTTTGACCAGGCTGCTCCGAGTATCGGCGTGGATGAGGCGCTGGAAGCTGAGATGTCAAGGGCAACACTTCTCAGCCTGTCCCCGGACGAGCTCTACCAGGCTGAGTTGCTTTGGGTCAGACACCTGCAGTCGGTCGGCTTTCTCCAGCGAGATCACCGCATTGGCGGCCGGGCACCCGGTGTCCACACGAAGTTCACTCGCCAAGCTCACGCCTTTCAGGGACGCGGAGGGCCTCCTGCGTGTTGGCGGGCAGCTGAAGCACGCGCTCCTGTGTTTCGACGAGCGCCACCTGATCATCTTGCCGATGCGCTCGCACATTACCAGGCTCATCATAGATGCTGTACATCAGCGAGTCTTACATGGAGGGGTGCAATTGGTCATGACACTCTACGGCAAAGATACTGTGTACCGGGAGGGCGACACCTGACGAAGCAGCTCATCCACCGGTGCGCCCCGTGCGTGAGATGGCGGGCGGCCTCTCCACAGCCTCTCATGGGCAGCTTGCCAGAGGCCAGAGCCACACCCGATCGACCCTTCATGAAGACCGAGGTCAATTACGCCGGACCTATCATGCTTCGCTCGGCTAGAGGGAGAGGTTACTTGGCGTCTAAGGCTTTCATCGCGGTGTTCATCTGCTTCGTTTCCAGGGCCGTTCATCTGGAGGTCGTATCCGACTACTCCGCCAATGTCTTCCTGGCAACGTACCGTCGATTCTCATCTAGGCGTGGAGTCTGCACGGATCTCTACAGTGACTGCGGGACAACTTTGTGGGCGCAGACAGCCAACTACGCGCTCTTTTCCGCGCGTCAGCTCCCTCCGCGCGCGTCATGGCGGATCGGCTCGCCAGCGTAGGCACGCGCTGGCATTTCAACCCGCCCAGCGCATCTCACTTCGGAGGTCTGTAGGAGGCGGCGGTCAAGTCAATGAAGCACCACTTGCTTCACGTGATTGGAACCGCCTTACTCACATTTGAAGAAATGACCACGCTTCTTAAGCAAGTCAAAGCTTGCCTCAACTCGCGCCTCTTGCGTGCGCTGACGGATGACCCGGACGACTTTGCAGCGCTTACGCCTGGGCACTTCCTCATTAGCGCTCCGCTATGCTCCATCGCTGAACCGTCGTTGGAGGATGCTCCGACAACTCAGCTCGATCGCTGGCGATGACTCCAGCAGATGCGAGACCACCTGTGGCGACGATGGTCTCAGAAGTATTTGACCAGCCTGATCAAGCGCAGCAAGTGGTGCCGGGCGACTCCTAGGCTTCGAGTCGGCCAACTGTGTCTAGTGCGGTCAGAAGTCACATCTCCCTGCAAGTGACCGCTCGCTCGCTTTATGGTCGTGCATCCCGGAGATGATGGCGAGGTGCGCGTCGTCACCGTGCGGACCGCGACGACCACTCTCACTCGGCCCACCAGGAAAATTATACTGCTGACTTCATCTTCCTCAGACGACCAAGCGAAGTGGCTTCGGGCAGTGACTGACCGCGGAACCTTCACCTCGTGGTCCCTTCGTTTGCTCCTGCGGCGTTTTCTTTCCTTTTTTCTTTTTTCTTATTGCGACGTTTTCTTTCCTTTTTTCTTTTTTCTTATTGCGGCGTTTTTTTTCTTTTCTTTTTTCTTATTTCGGATCCATGATGTGCTCCCCGCACAATCGCATATCGCGCGTTAATCCTTTTCTTTTCTTTGCGTTCTATAGCATAGCGGCTATCGTGTTTACGTCGGGCTTCGACCGCGACGCTTGCGTGTTCATATGCGAACGAGCTGGGGACGTCATTTAAATCGCCAGCGCCTGAGGTGCGTTGGTAAACCATAAAAGAAGGAGGGTGTACTAGGTGGCGACGGGACGCCGTGAGTTCGGCATCTTATTTTCATTCCGAAGAGAGAAAAATGTCGAGAGCACGGTACCGTCTGCGCTTCATCTCATGCGAGAGAAGGCGCACAGCCCTTCATCAGATTCCCTTCTGATGAGGCGAGCGGCAATGTTCTGATCAAGCTCCAGTCTGAGCGCATCGGCATCTTTTCGGAGATATGCGCTCACAGCATTTTCGCTGCTCGATGGGTTCAACGCTCTACCGAGAGATTAACTCTACGATTCGTGTTTACCTCGCGTGCATGTGAGTCTCGCATGTATCCAAACTTGGCATTTGCCGGCGATATGACAATGTCTTATTTTTCTGTGTATACACAGCTGATCTTGACGTTAGATTTTCGCAGCAGTGTCAGCGACATGGCCCAATCGCCTGAGCCTGTGTTCGATGTGCACGTGCTAACCGACTGACTGCTCGGGTTTTTGGAGAGGAACGTTTCTCTCGGCAAGCGTTGGCCAGACGAATTTCTGCGAACGTCTCGTTCTCACCGTCGCGTGCGTTTCCGTGGAAAGTGATTCCACCGATCTATGGAGATTTATGTAGCTTGTTAGCGCTCGCTCATCAAACCTGCGATATTGATGAGCGTTCCATCTCGTTGTTAGAATAAACGTTTGTTTTGTCATTTCATTCGCATCTGAGTGACTCTCTCTTTTTGACCCTCACTCGCAACATGTATTTAATTATGAACCTATAGATCAATCGTCTGAACTTCCTTTTATTTTTAAAAAATATCTGGACAGCTTAACATTAGAAATGAGTGCTACTCAAATATTATGTTTTGTAAAATATTGCCATTTTGATTGGTGATCTGATTCCTAAAAGTGATACTTTTTGGTTGTTGTATAGACTTTTAGAGAGATCCTTGACATTGTTTTTGCCAAAAATATGCACTAAAATTGTCCTGATATTTTGCAAGTACTTGTAAACGAATATCACAAGTTATATAATATATTATAAGTTATATAATAAGTTATATTTATTACGAACAAAAGATTATTTAAAACCAAAGGATCATTTAATTGATCATTATCCTAATTTTATGAAAAAAGCAGGACTTAAGTAAATGTTCATGCTTCAAATTTGAAACAAAACGTAAGTTTTTTAAGAAAGGCGGCTTCTGCAAGTGTTTATATAAGAAAAATATAGCTTATACAATTGCTGTAAAGCACCAATTGCACATGTGTTACAGATTTTTAAGTTTTTCTCCTATTCTCCAAACTTTTCCAACTGGCCTATGAAAAACATAAATCAATTGAAAAAGACTCAGATTTTAGCTTCTTTACCTGATAATATTAAAAAAATTGTCATTTAACAATTTGTAAATGGATTAATTATAAAGGAACTCGTTTTCATGAGAATTTAATTGTTATTATTGACGAAAGTGAATTTGGGCCATTATTTAGTTCAATTGGTGCTATAATTGTATGTGAGCCCACAGTGATATTCTAATGTGAGATTTTAGTTACTATAGGATTTAACGAATATGTTCGTGGTTACGAAGTAAGATTTTCAGGATCAAAAAGAAACATTAATATAAATGATCTTTATGATCCATTTCCATTGAGTTTAAAAGCAAACGTATATAATGAAAAATATGTTATTATGCGTTACGCATTTTAATTTTTTTTTCATTTAAGGTATATATACAGGGTGTCTCAGAACTTTGGGACACGAACTCGCGATGGCGTCTTAGCGCTTTGACGCCGCACGACGGTCAGCGCGAGCTGCGTTATCGCTCAGCCCCTAAGCACACAGCTTACCGCGGAGTGTCTATAGGCCGCGATGGGCGTGGAAAACGCCTAACTTTGCGCTGTTATAATTAAAAAACTATTACGATTTTCACATTATGGCACAGGACTCTTTTGTTCCTCTCACTTAGCTCTATATCCCTACGGAGTTCGTGTCCCAAAGCTCTGAGACACCCTGTATAATGAGTAGTCATTGACTACCAAATAAATGTTTATTGCATAAATTAAGTATTTACATACAAAAAATATTCCTTTTGTGTTTACAGTTTATCTCATATAGAAATGTTATTTTATTTTTATATATATTGAAAGAAAACTACTGGATTTATAAAATTAGCGGTCATCAATTACTAAACAAATATGTCCATTAGACAAATTACACGATGACACATTGAGTTAATATAACTATATCAACGTATACAAATTGTATTAACGTATAATTTATGTACAGAACTTAATATTTCATTAATGGCAGATTACTGTTGATATTATAAATTTAATTACTTTGATCTTATCGTCATTGTCTTTATTTAATAATTAGTAAATGTTAAAAATATAATATATGTGATATAAAAAATAACCAAACAATTTATTTTATGTTATACAACTTTTATTTGTATTTCAAATTGTAAAAATAAATAAATTTGGGAGCGAAACAATGTTTATTTTTATACGTTCTTTAAATAATTAAGAAAAGTAATTTACCAGGTATGTAAATATGAAACCGGAATTTTTGTATAGAAAATACACGTTTATTGTATGAAAATGATAAAAAATATTTTATTCGAAGTATTGCCCATCGCTAGCTATACATTTTTCCCACCTGTCTGACAATTTGTGGATGCCACGCCAAAAAAATTGTTGCTCTTTTGAAGCAAACCAGTCATCGAGCCATTTTCGTATATTTTCGTAAGAAGTGAAGCGCTGCTCAGCAAGTGCGTGTCCCATCGATGTAAATAAGTAGTAATTGGACGGAGCCAAGTCTGGCGAGTAAGCCGTATACGAAAGTATTTCCCAACTAAACGCCTCAATCGTTTCCTTGACCAGTTTTGCTGTGTGTGATGGTGCATTATCATGA